AGTCCTTTGATGGACACTTGGATAGCCTAAATCCTAGGGATTTCATTAAAAATTTAGTTACGTTCTTTGATTACCACAACGTAAATGACTCTGACAGATTAGATCACATGTATAGATTTTTGAAAGGTGAGGCAATGATCTGGTATAGGGCTGGACAGCACAAATTTAGTTCTTTTAAGGATTTTGAAGATGAGTTTTTTCAGTTTTGTTGGGGAGCCGCAGAGCAATCTGCCATTGCGGCCTCGCTTTATGCTGGTCGATATTCTGATAAGGATAAGCTTGCCTCTTATTTTTTGAAATATGTGCGTGATCTTCAATTGTTACAAGGGCCCATTTAGGACTCAAATATGATCGCTGCAGTTCTCACGCATTTTCCTAGGGATGTGCAAGAGCACTTCACCCAACCTGGAGAAAACACAATTGATTCAGTGTTGGCCAAGTTACAGCGCCTTGACCGAATCCGAAAAAACGGTTCTAAACAAGAAACAGAACAACCAAAAGTTTTCGCAAAAAAGTTTGTACCCCAGCCTCAGCGAGTCTCATGTGTTGAGAATTTTGAGCAGTCAAAGAATGAAAGGGAACAGTGTGAGAACAACAGTGACCAGTCTTTAAACTAAACCTGAGTTGTCCAAAATCTGAGTCGAGTTCAGAGCTCTCTACTCAGCCCCCTGATAAAAGTTCCACTTTTCAGTCTGCGTCAGCTCAAATAACCAACAGCTCTAATAATCTACCATCATGGCTTGATTCTGCAATAAGTAATACCAACTCACACTATTGTTTTGTTAGAATGAGCTTAGCGTCGGCTGAATCAGAAATTCCAATTCAATGGCTTCTTATGATACCACATTGTATGTTAGATGAATCACTGGGATTCAAAACTCCTTCCCTCACTGTTAACTTTTTTCCAGTTTTTGAATTTCTGATTTTAGATTTACTAGAACTTTTCCAATATTGTTTAAAAGTTGACTTTACCCAATATACAGCTATTCTAATTGTACTGCACAATCTCGATACAGTCAGATATTTTAATTGTTCTTTCAACAAGCTAACTTTAAATGAGAATCTTCTGAGTGATATTTTAGACTTGTTAGTGAAGCTTTCAAAGTTAACTCCTATTATATTTTCAGAAATCCTTCATTTACAGGGAAACTCAAATTTTAATGCGTTTTTAAAAGTAATCAATAGTAAAATTCAATATCATGTTGAAACTCTTTGCCAAAATTCTAGTTTTCTTTCGTTAAATAAAAATAAGGAAATTAAAAAAGCTCAAGCTTCTGAAAGCTCAAACCCTCTTGTGCGGCAAATTATTTTAACTAAGCTTACTCTAGTAATGAATGTAAATTGTAACGAAATTAACCAAGTTTGTAAACCTACTGCCCAACTTCAAGACTATTCTGAAGTAATCCCGACTGATGGATTTTTATTAGAGGAAAGTGAACCCCAGCTTACCAATACTCGCCCTACCATACCCTCAGCCATATACAGAGCGGCACTTGTCAAGCCCCATTTGTGTTGGGAGTAGCAGGATATTTGCAAAACAAGTCGTGTTATCAAAAAGGTCAGGTATCAAAGATTTTCTTCGCGAAGTCAATGCTGTTCTCGTGAAGTTAGTGCGTAATTTTTTACATAAATTGTTTTGAATAGTTTGTCTGTTGTTCGGGAAGTGCCAAATGTTGAATCTCTTTGTCACGACCCAAAGCTTGGTGATTTTGACCTGTTAAATTTTGATGACCCTGCGCAGAATTATTCATATTCATCCGATGAAGATTCTGAAGATGACATTGAACTCAAGGAACTCCTACAGTATTGTGACAAGGAAGGATCAGCAGGAGGGGAGGAGCTATCGGGTCTTAAAAAATGTCTAAGATGAAAAAGAAGATGAGAATAAGATGGAAGAGAATGACAGCATTACTGCCCACGGAGGGCACAGCAATGAAAAAAATGAGAGTACCAAAAGACGCCACTCCAAAGGAACAATCAAATGGAAACGGCATTCGCGCCCCTCACCCCCCAGGAACGTTGGTCCTTAGTCAGGCGGGAAGGCAGATGCGCTAACTGCCTCAGCGCGCAACACGCCGACGGCGTTTGCGCAAGCAAAAAACGATGCGCCCAACGTGGCAGAGCGCATCACACAATGTTGCACCTCCCTGCTGGGCACTTTGCTCCTTCCTCGAGCGGCCCCCACCCCCTTTCCCAATACCCGTTTGCGGAAAGGTGTAGAAACATGAAACGGCCGGCCCCCCCTGTGCCAATCGCCGCCAGATCATGAGCTTTTTCGGAGACGGCGCCCGAACTCAATTCCAGCGGGGTACGAGGCCCCCTCCACGATGCCCGGGCTTCCGCGATTCCCGCCACCCTCTCCGGCTCTCCCTCCTTACGGCCATGCACCTATGCCGCGGATGGAGGAGCCGCTAATCCCTTGCTCACCAGTCCATCCACAGTCTCCGCCACCAGCCAACCAGTGGTGGTCGGAAGACCCGCTCCACGAATTTGGTTTTGAGCGGTTCTTCCCTCGGACTCCCCCTCCGGCGCCATCCCCTCTGCCGTCGGTGTACGAGGTGGACCCGGGCACCCCCCTCCGGAGCATTTGTGGAACCGCCACATCACCGATTGGGAGGAATTTGACCCATTCACCCCCCGACGATTTCGCCCTCCAAGTCCACCACCCCTAATCACTTTCAGCCCCCCTGGCTCCCCTCTCATCCAGTTAGAGCCTGAGGAAGTGGTCGAGGTCAGACCCCGTGGCCGCGGTTTTCCGGCATATGAGTCACCGCCGCCCAACCGCCCATCATCCCGGCCCGGACCTTCGGACTCCCGGGAACGTCTCAGGACCCTCGCCCGCGGTAGCGAGGCCATCCGGCTGCGCGAGTCTTCCCGCGCCCGTTTTCGCGGAGCTCGCCGCCTAGGACCTGCCACTGGTTCTCGCCCGCGCGGCTCGCCTTCGCCCGCCCGGATGCCCCACTCCCCTGACCGTGAGCCCTTATATGTTAGAGCACGGCTCAGGGATTCTGGAGCTTACGTCCTCATCCGGCGTGGTTAGTTTCAGCCAGCGCGTTGGCGCCAGTCCAATTTAGTCGCCCTTGTACTTTGTTTAACTGTTTGTTTGTTTGTTTGTTTGTTTTTTTTTTTTTTTTTTTTTTTTTTTTTTTTTTTTTTTTTTTTTTTGTTTTTTGTTTTTTTTTTTTTGCACCCCGTGTTTCTAATCGCCCTTGTAATTCATTCAATCGTAATACGCTTGCGTTTCTTAGTCGCCATTTTTGTACCACTCATGTTTCGGCTGCGTACCGCCCCTTCGCCCTCCTTAAAAGACCTTGGTATCGCGGCCATGAACCGAGTTTCCTCATGACTTCGCCTGAAGTGAAGTATTGTATCCTGTCTTTCAGAATGGAGCCCCTGCCACCAATAGAAGCTTAGGACCAGGAAGAGCCTCGCCCACTCTCGCCCAGATCATCCCCGATCTGTCCATTTTGTGGCCCTTGCCACTCCCTTGGAGACTGCCCCCAATTCATCAGGCTCTCCCCTGCCAACCGTTTATCCATAGTTCTTGGTAACGGTCTGTGTATCAATAGCTTGGCCCACCCTGCCGCCGGCTGGCCCGTAGTTCGATGCCACTTGAAAGCGCAATGTAGCTGCCAGGCGCCACACCACCCTATGCTGCATGACAGCCGCAGGGTAATGGTGCCGCCTCCACAATCTCCTGGGATCCGCGCCTCCTTCCGAGGTCGGCGGCCACTTCCGGCCACGCCGCACATCGGGTTCCTACACCCTCGAAGCACAGCACCGGGACGCTAGTTTTTTCTTTACCGAGCGTATATGCAAACATTGTACAATCAACCTAAGCACAAATGTATATAAACAGTAAATAAAGTACAGACATTTGTATTGAACATTTGCATCTCAATTATTGCCAAGCCTACGCTAGCCCTCACTTGACCTTTTTATCGCCCTTGTAACGCACACCTTTGCTCATCACCCCCCTACTGTACCTATGTTTTATTGTGTTTTTCGCCCTTGTAATCATCGCGCACCTCTTTTCGCGCCTCGCCCTTCATGTCTCTAGTTTTTTTTTGTAACCTTGTCGCCTTGTACCTCAGTTTCGTTTTGTAATCCCTCCGTGATTCCAAGGAGGGGAGTATGTTGGCGCCCCTGCGCCCTGAAAATATCGAACATCGATATCGCTCCGCCACCTATCGCCCTTTTTGCTAATTAGCGATTTCGGTTGTCGAGTTCCCCGATAGATCGCGCATGCTTGTCAATTAGCACTCAATGATCAGTCACCCCTCCCTTTCTCGATAATGGACTCTTCCATTTTTTCGCATGCTACGATCCCGCGTTGCCAGCGCTCTCTCTGGTAAGGTTCCACCCCTCTCAACTTGTTGAATCTTGTTCGACTCTGATTCTTCTGCTCGTGTGTGTCGGATACGTACGTCTTTACGGTTTTTTCGAGTTTCCCTGGACCCTTTGTGGAAAAGTTTGCTTTCTTCGCAGATTTCTGCTACATCAACCTCTTCGAGCTTCAGCTGAAGATCTTCCTTTCACTTTACTGATTGCATTCAGGTAGAATTCATGAATTATACCTCTCTACGAATCTAGCATCTAGGATTCTAGCCCCCTTAGGCCTACCTCGTGTTGCTAATTTCAACCCTGGCAAGTATCAGCATAATTTTCATCCCTTTGTTCCCTTCTTTCACCCTTATTACCCTTCATTAGAGCTCAAAGTGAACGAATCATCCCTTCTGCTCCCTTAAAAACCTCCCTTAAGTTCCCTACTCATCTGAAAGCTCCAAACTCAAGGTCATGCCTGGATATCTCATGACCATGGAAGGCTAAAGCTTCAACTATGACTTCATGAGCAAGTATTGTCACCCAGGAATAATGGCTCGATGGTCTCTGCACACTAATACTCAATGGTAAGCCTCATGTTTCACTCAGACACACTCTATGACGTATGATGATCTATGAATTATGTGTTCCCACACCCCCGCCCCATTTCAGGTTTACCTAAGTTCAAATTCTTAGGCCCCAAATATACAGTCCACTCAATTTATTTGTATCGGAATTTAGGCCCCCAATATCGATTTTACCTTTCGATTGTTTAGCGGCCTAAACAACGCTGAAAAAATTCGCGAATCAGCATATGCACTCTGCCAAGTCTACCCAGCAGATCTTGAGGAGTCACTTGAGGTGGAATGCTTGAATTTAAAAAGCCATTTAGCCGTTCTGAACGAAACGCTTCAGAAAAGTTGCGAATCTTTGCCCGTTCTTTATCAAACAATTTTGTCTAAAAATATGAAAAAGCTGTACCCCAACATTTGCGTCGCGCTCCAAATATTCCTTACAACTGCATTGGCAAACTGTACAGGCGAGCGCTCATTTTCCGTTTTGGATCGAATTAAAAGTTTTTGCCGATCGTCCATGACCCAAGGGAAACTAAACAACACGGCAATTTTAAACATCGAGGCAGACTTGACAATCAATTTAGACGTTGATGCTCTGGTTAGCAGCTTTGCTAAACTGAAAACCCGGAGAAAAACTTTTTAACCTGGTCTTTCGAGAATACATTGTAATTTGTAAGTAATACATTGAGATACACTAGCTTCATGCTTCAACTTATTGTCTCCACATTTTATTTTTGCCTCATCCCTCCATTCCATCTATTTTATATATTCGCGGCGCATTTTGAAGTAGCTACGCGCACGCGCACGAGGGAGGGGCCAAGATGAGATGTCGTGGGAAGTTGCGAGTGTGGGGAGGGGGAAGGGGCGGGGGGATACTGTTGACAATATGGTGACGAAATATTGCAGACCCAGGGGCGGCAAAATGTAGCTTGCCCAGGGGCGGCAAAAAGCTGAATCCGGCCCTACTAAGAAGTGGCCCGAGACTGTATGTAACAAGGTGTAAACTTTGTATATATTCGTCTAAATCATATGTCTTGTATATATACATATGTCATTATGATCTTGAATTATATAAATCGTACAATTCATGCAATATAAAAATAACATGAGTCAGTAGGTAGCCCTCGTATTATCATCATCCAAAAACCAGCAAACCACCCCTCTCACACTGGTTGCTCGACTGAAAACTCGGATAAAACCAGGGTGGAAGAAACCAAGGGTGTTACTACTGCGGTGGATGATGTCAAAACCCGAGTTTTTCAAAGCGCGATATCTCGATTAATATTGAACGTAGAAAGCTGCTGTTTGGACGGATCTTAGTATTTTTAGCTAATCTTCAAAAAGCAATAATTAAAACACAATTATGTGACCAGCGCAACTGACCAATTGAAACTGAATAGTTTCTCGCCAATTAAGGTATTTACGTAAAAGCTTACTTAAACCACATCTAGAGGCGAAGCAGGTCATGCAATAGTTTCGTCTGAAGATTTCCTCGAAATATACTTTTGTATGTGTCCCTATAATGGGTGCGAAAAGAGCACTTCTCGATTGCAGTATTTCAGAGCCTCTGTTTCTAATTAATCCATTGGAGAAGAATATGGGTGATTTTACCAGAATTCTTTCCATAAAAAATTGTAGAATCATAAGGAATATTCAGTGAAATTTTTGGTGGAATGGATGCATTCACTTTCCTTACAATGAATGAAATATTAAAGGAGACTCTTCAACACTGCAACCGAGGAGTGCCCTTTTCGCATCCAGTGCCTCAATTGCAAATGAATGATCTCCCGCTAAGATAGGTTCGATTATGCTCTTTAAAGTCAAAATTTTCAGCAGAGGAGGAAAAGTGTTATTCGCAATTAGATGAATAGTTTCGCCGATACGTTTGCGTTATTGTGCATACCTAAATTGCACATTTTACTGAAGGATGAACAGCAAAAACTGCAACTGAATAGTTTCTCGTTAGAATGAAATATCATATGGATGGTAATTTTCTTTCTTTGAAGGAGGAAGTGAAGTACAGAGGTTTCTCGCAAGTGTGCGTTCGCATACGCAGGTACGGCTAAAGATCCTTTCTCGATGAAGGAGGAACAGCAATGACTACAAATGAATGGTTCCTTGCTATTTTTCATTTGTCTTGTGTCGGTGCAATCGTCTTCATTCTTAATTTCAATAATTTCATGAAACGGATTATTCAAAATTTTATCCGGAGGGAAGACCGATGACAGAATTGCTAGACAGTAATCATTCTGATAGCTATTCGGTTCAAGTATGTGCATTGCTCGAAAAAGTTTCATTCTTATATTTTACAAGATGGAACGTATTGATGGCAAATGCCGCGTCAAAAGTTTATTCTATGTCCCGTTCGATTACTTCACTCTTTAGAAAAACAGTCTCACTAGTCTCTTCAGTGTGCTTCAGTACATGCTCATTTAAACTTCCTTTTTTAGTGAAGGAGGAAGAGCAATGACTGCAACTGAACGGTTTCTCCCCCATATGCGTTCGCATATGATTATTTAAAGTTAATTTTCTAGTGAAAGAAGTGGAGCAGTGACTGCATGTGAATGGTTTCTCGCCAGTATGAGTTCGTGTGTGGTTCTGTAAATCGTATTTACGGGCGAAGGAGGTCAAGCAATGGCTGCATCTGAATTGTTTTTCGCCGGTATGCATTCGCGTGTGTTCAGTCAATTTCTCTTTCTCACGGAAGGAGGAAGGGCAAAGACTGCAACTGAATGGTTTCTCTCCGGTATGCGATCTTATATGCCTATCTAAATTACTTCCTTCGCGAAAGGAGGCCAAGCAAAGGCTGCAACTGAATGGTTTCTCTCCAGTATGAGTTCTTACATGTCTCTCTAAATGGCTGTTACGGGAAAAGGACGACGCGCAATGACTGCAACTGAATGGTTTCTCGGCAGTATGAGTCCGTATATGGCTCTGTAAATCGCCTTTACGAGCGAATGAGGTCGAGCAATGGCTGCAACTGAATGGCTTCTCTCCGGTATGCATTCGCGTGTGTTCAGTCAATTTCTCTTTCTCACGGAAGGAGGAAGGGCAAAGACTGCAACTGAATGGTTTCTCTTCGGTATGCGATCTTATATGCCTATCTAAATTACTTCCTTCGCGAAAGGAGGCCAAGCAAAGGCTGCAACTGAATGGTTTCTCTCCAGTATGAGTTCTTATATGTCTCTCTAAATGGCTGTTACGGGAAAAGGACGACGCGCAATGACTGCAACTGAATGGTTTCTCGGCAGTATGAGTCCGTATATGGCTCCGTAAATCGCCTTTACGAGCGAATGAGGTCAAGCAATGGCTGCAACTGAATGGCCTCTCTCCGGTATGTGTTTTTACATGCCTCTTTAATTGACTGTTATGGAAAAAGGACGTCGAGCTAAAACTGCAACTGAATGATTTCTGGCCGGTATACGTTCTCATATGTCTAGTTAAATCTTCTTTCTCAATGAAGGAGGAGGAGCAACGATTCCAACTGAACTGTTTCTTGCCTCTTAGCGTTTGTTTCGTGACGGTGCAATCGTCTTCATTCTTAATTTCAAGAATTTCATGTAAGGGATTATTAGACATTTCATCCTTACCGTCCACTTCTAGATTTTTCCTAAGAGAATGACCGATAACAGAATCACGCGAGTGCGATCCTTTTTGGATCCGTCCGGTTAAAGTATCTGCACTGCTCAAAGAAGTTTCATTTTCATGTTTTAAAGGATGGAATTTATGAATGGCAAATTCCGAGTCGAAAGTCGTTTCTATTTTAGGTTCGATTACTTCACTCTTTATGATAATTGTGTGACCAACCTCCACGACGTTGTCTTGTGACTCTTTCTCACAAATCATACCTGGTGCGATCTTTGGAATGGAGACTTGTTGAGTGTTGACTGATGAGCTGTCCTCCAAAAGTGTACCTACGTTGCTGCGTGCAGATCTTTTGAAAATCCTGGGCAGAGAGAAATGTCAAGAGGTGTGAGCGGATGTGTTATGGGAAGTTAAAACTTAAACGTAAAATATTAGATGTTGGAATGACATATGGTGAGGAGAGGAACAATAACTGAGCCTGCTTTTCCTCATCAAAATTCATGGAAGAAAAATTCATTAGAGAAAGAGGTATTGTTTGTGCCGAGAAGCCTTTCTAAGGACTCAATAATAATAATAAAAAAATGAATGATGAAAATGACAACGATTTGGAACAAAAGAAGAAGTTTTGGAAGTTTTAAAGAAGCCTTTTCACTGTCTTAAACGTCTAGCCTTTTTGTAGTCCCCTTATAAGGGAGATGAGTATCTGCTTGTAAATCCTCCTATTATGACGAGAAAGAAAACAGACAAAAATGTGTGCCAGCCATTTTGGACGCGCTTTGAGCGTCATTCCGGATCAACAAGCCTTGATCTTTTTCAGTCACTTTTTCAGCCACTCTCAAAAATTTCAAGGGAGTTTTAGAAAGCTTCGAAAGAAACTGGACCACTCGTACCTTATAATAATCAATCTTAAAAAGTGCTGCAGAGGACATACAGGAGGCCTTCTTTTCTTCACGCTTCCATTCAAAAGAATTCAAAGGGCGCTAAAGGAGTGTCAGAAGAACTAGAACCTTTAAAACTTATTCACTTCCACTTCCTCCACGGGGCGCTAATATGAATCACGGAAGAATTAAAAATTCACAAATACGGGTCCGTTGTTACGCGTGTGCAAGACGTTTATTTTATTCAAATTTGCAAGACACTCGGTGCTTTCCAAGCAAGTTGCAGTTAACTGAATGGTCTCTTAGCTGTAAGAGTTCGCATAACCTACAACTGAGTGGTTCATTATCAGTATGCCTTCGCAGCATATGTTTCGATAAATTACTTTTAGTAGTATAGGAGGAAGAACAATGGCTACAGCCGAATGGTTTTTCGCCGCCAGTATGCTTTCGCATATGATTGTTGAACGTAGTTTTTTGAGAGAAAGAGGAAGGACACAAACTGCATTTGAATCTTTTTCCGTCAGCGTGCGTTTGCAAGTGTACCTTCAAATAGTTTTTTCGAGCAAAAGAGGCAGAACAGTGACTGCAAATGAATGATTTCTCCCCAGTATGTAGTAGCATGTGTTGTCTTAAATGTCTCTTTTGAGCGAAAGGGGTAGAACAATGACTGCAAATAAATGGCTCCTCGCAGGAATGGGTTCGCACATGATACGTCAAAGAACTTTTGTGTGCGAAGGAAACTGAGCAATGACTGCAAGTGTATGGTTTCTCGCCGGTATGCTTTCGTTTATGTTCCATTAGAGTACTTTTTTGAGCAAAAGAGACAGAACAATGATTGCAACGGAATGGTTTCTCGCCAGTATGTGTTCGTAGATGTTCCGTTAAAGTATCTTTCCGACTGAAGGAGGAGGAGCAAGAGCTGCAACTGAACTTTTTGTTATTTGGCTTGGCTTTTTCCCTGATGGTCACCAAACCCAAGTTATCAGGACTGTCAGTTTTGTTTCCGTTACACGTATTTGGGAGAAATGCTGTTTCTTCCCCGAGCGCCTGCAATTGGCCAAGTGGTGGGTCGTCTGTCATCTCTTCTTTAACCGGCGATGTCATAGGGATATTTGAAAGACATCCAGTTTCTTCTCCAAGGGTTTGCAATTGGCCAAGTGGCGGGTCGTCTGACATTTCTTTTTTAATCGGCGATGTCATTGGGATGTAATGATGAGATGCAAAATTATCATCCCCCTTATCTGGGTCCCTTTCATCTCTTGCGAACTTGCCTGCCGATACGGTTATGAGAAAGTCTTCATTCTTAATTTCAATAGTGGAATGTAACGGATCAGTCAAAATTGCATCCTCTCTCCCTACCTCAAGTTTAATGCTAGTAGAGAGACCGATCAGGGAATCGAAAGAAGACGAGCCTCTGACTCGGAACTGTTCTATTGAAGGATTCCCCTCATTCGCAGAAGTTCCAGCTTCATTTTTGACGCGTTCGGGGGTAATATTTTCGAATGAACAATCATTGGCCGTTTCGATCGATTCCTCAACTACATGCTTCAACAATTGTGTGTAACCAACCTCCGTGATGTCGTTCTGGGGTTCCTCTCTACTTGTTCCGCTCGGTGCAATCTCTGGAGTTTTGGCTTGACGGTTGGTGGATGTATATTTCGCCTGAGAGTGATCCATTCGATGATTTTAGGTTCATCCTGAAGAGAAAAGAAACAGGAAATCGTGAGAAATCACTAACGAACAGAACAAAAGTGTTAAAAGCTGAAACAAGGGATTGGTTGCAACGTATGCGTACGTTGGAGAGCGTTCTCCCTACGAACCTTTTTCTTTAATACTATTATTATTATTACTAGGGAATAATTGAATTAGTACTTCAGATATGGCAATATCATTACCTGTCGACAGTAAAGGACAGAATGAATCACTGAAAGATAGGTACGCAACGAACCGAGAGCTGATAATGTAAGTTGTTTTGACCGGACATTCTACCACGGACTAATGTATTGGGCTCATGTTATACAGGGTTAAACGGCCAGACTGCAGGAGCCGAAACACCCCCAAACCCCCTCTTTCAATTGAGATTTCGAATTTTTTTTGATCAGTTATGAATTTAGGGCATAAAAGTACGAAGGAGTACACATTTTCATGAGATTTGGTTCACAACCGTTGTCAAAATTCAGGGAAAACGATTTACTTTCCAATATTTTTTTTTGTAGGCTGTAGCTCCGACTGGGGGCACTTTGGGAAAAAACCTTATACAGCAAAGTAGTCTCATTTTAACCCACAGAACACGCTCCTGCAGTCCGGGGATTTAACCCTGGATCACTCAATATAGTGAATGGGTACTCATAGGTAACAAAAATTTGCCGGCGAGGGCACTTTGTTCCGCGAAATCACACGAAGAGCTCACTTTGACGGACTGTAGATTTTTAAAAAATGCCTTTGATTCTTTGAAAGTTGGCACAAAAGGACCACCTGTGTCATTAATTTAAGTTCCTGAGAGATCTGTGGACTAAACTCAAAATTGAAGAGTTACGCGTCCAATAGCGAGGGCACTTTGATCATACGAGGAGCTCACTTTGATGGACTGTAGATTTTGAAAAAGTTCCTTTGATTCTTTGAAAGTTGGCACAAAAGCACCACCTGGATCATTCATTTGAACTCCAAAAAGATCTTTGGACTAATGTCATAATTGAAGAGGGGCCCACAGCAAATCGCCATTTTGGGCCGAACGCTCTCAAGGAAACTGAAGACTCCTCGGTATTAGCAGCAAGTGCTTTGAGTCAGGTGAAACGTAGGATTTCTAATGCATTATATAATAAATACACACACCACAAAAGAAATAAACATTCATGACATTTTGTGATTGGTTTATTCATAGATATATGAAACACAAATTAGACAATTCATTATACACAGCCTCGCCTCAACTTGCACATTCGAAATTTTGCCTGAGATGAAGCAATTAACTCATGTTTGTTAATGATATAATAAAAAGCAGAATGATGACTTAAAATCATGAGTTTTACCTAACAAGGGGAGTCTACGAAGTGACATCCTGGGATTGGGTTCATTTTGCTTGTACATGAAGAAGAGACAAATCTAAGGTTGACGTATTTTTTTTTAGCCGCCAACTCCCAACCGTTCTCGAGATATCGATTTTTAAAGTTACGATTTTTGCACGTTTCCGCGCGGAGTTCCGGCGAGTCAACTGAGCGCCGGCAAGCTGCACGAAGCGCGTTTCCTATCAGCGCTGCAGACCGGCCATCCTTATCAACAGTTCCGTGGCCGAGTGGTGGAGTGTTCGCCTACTGTTCCATCGATCGCGGGTTCGAATCCCGCTTCATGCCGTAGCTTTTAGGGTACGCCGCAATGCGTTTTTACAAGTTTTCTTTATTTTTATCACACACCAAGGGGTCCGCCCCCTGGCCGCTGCGCGGCCCAACCCCCGGGGCAAAAAGGCGCGCTTCGCGGCGAGCGAAATCATCGAAATCGACCGTTGACGGTTGCAAATTCAGAGTAAGGAAAAAGTCATTAAGAATATTGTGTGGTGAGAAATTTTTATTTGAAACATCATTTTATCATTCAATTAAAATTGTTTACCCAGTAACCGTCAACGGTCGATATCGATGATTTCGCTCGCCGCGAAGCGCGCCTTTTTGCCCGGGGGTTGGGCCGCGCAGCGGCCAGGGGGCGGACCCCTTGGTGTGTGATAAAAATAAAGAAAACTTGTAAAAACGCATTGCGGCGTACCCTAAAAGCTACGGCATGAAGCGGGATTCGAACCCGCGATCGATGGAACAGTAGGCGAACACTCTACCACTCGGCCACGGAACTGTTGATAAGGATGGCCGGTCTGCAGCGCTGATAGGAAACGCGCTTCGTGCAGCTTGCCGGCGCTCAGTTGACTCGCCGGAACTCCGCGCGGAAACGTGCAAAAACCGTAACTTTAAAAATCGATATCTCGAGAACGGTTGGGAGTTGGCGGCTAAAAAAAAATACGTCAACCTTAGATTTGTCTCTTCTTCATGTACAAGCAAAATGAACCCAATCCCAGGATGTCACTTCGTAGACTCTGTGCGCACAACGACCTTTTACTGGCAACTGAAAGATCGTGTAAACCCTAACTAGTTAAAAGTTTGGATTCGAAAAAATTGCTTCAAACTTTTTATAGTTAAAAATGACACTGGACACTGACGGGAGTTGATCGGTGTTTTTTTTCTAAGTTTTTGAACTAGGTATGATCACATTCGTGCCAGATCAAATTCTTATTCTCAGTAAATATAGCAGACCCATTATTGCAAGAGACTGGTTTCCTGACGCTGTGCCCTTTGGCATAAGTCCAATTAAATTACTTAGCTGCGCAAAAAAGGCGCACGAATGACGAAAACTGAATGGTTTCTCACGCGTAAGTACATGTTCGGACACCTATGTGTATAGAAATCGCCGCTATAGCAAAAATGAAGTGCATTGTGGGCAACTATAAGGTTTCCTGCCGGTATGCGTTCTCAAATGGTAATTTAATAAGCACTTTTGAGTGAAGAAGGTAGGGCAATGACTAGAACTAAAAGACTTTTCGCCACAGTAAATTCAAAAGTAATCAATATGATAGGCGCCCTGCGCCGGAGAGAGCTGTGAGAGCGACTTTTATGTACCTACGTATGTATGTATATACGTATTATAATAGGTCAAAGATCAAATTTGACCGATTTTCAAAAAATTATAACTCCGGTTCAAATTATCGTAAAGAAAAAACAAAACGGAAAAATTCACCAAATTGTAAGCAATTTTAAGTAATAATCGTAGAAATCACTTCAAACTAATTTTAAGTGGGGGGGGGGGGTTCAAACCTCCAAATACGTCAGTTCAAAGGTCATGCGATTTTTCCGTGAAATGAGCCAATTTCCTCTAAATTTGCCTCAACATAATCTCAGTAAGTTCTATTTTAGTTCAATATTACGTTTCTGAGTCCCCAAATTTTGGGAAAAGTCGAAGAAAACGAAAAAGGTGATTGAATAGTCGAAATTTTTGCTCTTTACTGTAAGAAATGAACTGATCAAGAACTTCCAAGTACTGCTGGATTAGGAGCAAATAAAAAGGGTAGCCTCGCAAAATATTTAGTGTACTGTTAGATGATACTCTTAAATTAAAATACCATGTTAACACAATATGTAGGAGGCTACATGGTGCTATTTTTAAGTTGAGGGTCTTGTCGAGATTTTGCAACCTGAATCTGTTAATGATAGTGTACCATTATCTTTTCCTATCTCACATACTGTATTGTTTCAATGCTTGGTCAACTTGCAATAACATAAAGATCGAGAAAGTACTTATACTTTTAAGAAAAAACTATTAGAACTATGCTTAAATTAAAACGTACAGAATCTTGCAAGGAACATTTTAAAAAATTACAACTCTTGACTGTTCCAGCATTGGTCATTTATTCATCTTTAAAACTATACAACAAGAAAATACAGGAATCTAGAGTGGTACACAAACAAAACACTAGAAACAGAAAAGAAAGTTTAATCATAAAAATGAATAAAACATCGGCTCGAGGCCATAAATTTTTCTGACATAAAGAAAAAAATTAAAGAGGAGCCCCGGTGCCAGAAGGTAGAAGGTAAAGATTTTTTTTTTTAGTTATTTATGTGTTTAAGTGTTGGTGGTACTTTGATGGTCCCTAAAAATCAAATATACCGGCCAAGTATTAGCTGCTAATAATTGCAAACAATGTTCAAACACTGGACCTTACTGACTCATTTATGACCGTAACTATTTTCTTAATAATAAATGTTATATTTCCTTTTTCCTAGAAAGCCGGCCGAAGTGGAAAAAGTCACTAATTTACTCCTTTTCTGGGTGGCGAAAGACAATTTACCTCTAAGTGAGGTGGATGGTGAAGGATTTAAAGTTTTCATGAAAGAAGTCTTTCCTAAGTACAAGACGCCAGGTAGGAAAAAACTTACGAAGCTATTGGACGAGAAGTACAACATTTTATCGAAGAAGATTAAAAATCGATCGAAAATGTGAAGCATGTCAGCCTTACCACTGATATTTGGACATACGAGCTTACATCAAGAAGCTACCTAGGTCTCACTGTGCACTATTACAATGCCGATCTCTATAAAACAGAAAGTAACATTCTAGCAGTTGAGCCATTATCAGAGTCTCATACCGCGGACCATATCAACGACATCATTCAAATACTACTTGATGAATGGGATATTCCTGATAATAAGATAAGTATGCTGCAACAGATTACTACCGATTGCGATAAATCAATTATTTGACTAATCGAGCATCTCTATAACAATATATGCATGGCGGTACGTGAACACAAAGGATAATCCAGCTGATGTTGCCTCTCGGTCTTGCCCCTCTCCGAGTTATGTGATTATAATCTTTCGTGGCACCGCGCATCATGGTTACAACAACCGCCCAGTCAGTGGCCCATCAGTAAGCTTGATCAACAAGACTCCAAGGCCGTACTTACCGAATTGAAGCCTTCAGATCCTGTCGTCCTTCACCAAACTATGGACCACGGACAATGATCTGATCCAATTAATCCAATTAGAATTCGCATTCATCAATTTGAGGCGGATAGTGGCTTAGATCTTACGTTTCGTCCATAATTGCCGTCTTCCTTCCAAGGAAAGGATAAAGGGACCTTTGCGCGCCTGCGAATTGAGCAGAG